ACAGTCACATGTCCAACAGGTATATGAAGATATGACCAAGATCACTAATTGCCAGGGAAATGCAAATCAACAACACAGTGAGATACTCTTCACTCCAGTTAAAATCGGTTTTATTATAGAATTATAATTTAAAAAGACAAAAGAAAACAAATGTTGGCAAGGAGGTAGAGAAGAGAACACTGACACACTATTGGTGAAAATGTAAATTAGTACAAACACTATAGAAAACTGGAGGTTCCTCAAAAAATTAAAAATAGAACTATAATATGCATATGATTCCATAATTTCACTACTAGATATATATCCAAAAGAAGCGAAATCAATATGTCAAAGATTTATCTGTACTTCTTTATTTATTGCAGCGCTATTTACAGTAGTCAAGATATGGAATCATAAGTGGCCATTAACAGATGAATAGATAAAAAAGTGTGGTATATATACAGAATGGATAATTCTACCATTAAAAAAAGAAGTCCTGTCATTTGCAACAATATGAATGCAACTGGAGGTCGTCATGTTAGGTGAAATAAGACACAGAAAGAGCTTATTTCAAAAACTAAAAAATTGGAATCTAAAAATAAAATTGGGATCATAGAAGCAGAGAGTTTAAAATGTGGTTACCAGAGACGGGAGGAGGAGGATGGGAGGATGGGGAAAGGTTGGTCTGTGGTCCAAGTTACAATCAGATAGCGGGAATAAGTTCAACTTCTATTACACAGTAGGGTGAGGACAGTTAACAGTAAGACATGGCATATTATAATTAGAAAATAATTAGGGAAGCTTTTGAATGCCCTTACCACAAATGATAGATGCATAAGGTGATGGTCATGTGAAATACCCTAATTTGATCATAATACAACCTATATATGTATCAAAACATGTAATTCTACCCCATAAATATGTACATACAATTTTTAAACTCTCGTGGCATTTTTCATAGTAATAACAAAAAAACTTAAAATTCACATGGAACCACAATATACCCCAAATGACTAAAGCAGTCTTCAGCAAGAACAAAGCTGAAGACACCATAGCTCTTGATTTCAAATTGTATTACAAAACTATAGTAATTAAAACAGTATGGTACTAACATAGGAACAGATACATAGACCAATGGAACCGAATAGACAGCATAGAAATAAACCCATACATTTATAGCCAATTGACTTTAGACAAAGATGACAAGAACACAGAATAGGGAAAGGACAGTTTATTTGATCAATGGTGTTGGGACAACTGGATGTCCACATGCAGAAGAAAGAAATTAGTCTTATACTGTGTATAAAAATCAACTCAAAATGGATTAACGACTTATATGTAAAACCTGAAATTTTAAAACTACTCGAAGAAACATAGGAGAAAAGCTCCATGCTGCTGGTCTTGGCAATGATTTTTTTGGATGTAACACCAGAACACAGATGACAAAAGCAAAAAGAAATGAGTGGGACTGCATTGAACTAAAAGATTTCTACAGCAGCAAAGGAAACAACAAAAATGAAAAGGCAACTTCTGGAATGAGAGAAAATATTTGCAAACCATATATCCAATAAGGGGTTAATATTCAAAATATATGAGTTCTAGTCCATTTTTGCATTGCTACAAAGAAATACCTGAGGCTGGGTAATTTATAATGAAAATAAATTTATTTTGGGCCAGGCACATGGTGGCTCATGCATGTAATCCCAGCACTTTGGGAGGCCGAGGTGGGCAAATCAGTTGAGGAAAGGAGTTATAGACAAGTTTGGCCAACATGGTAAAACCCCATCTCTACTAGAAGTACAAAAACTAGCCAGGCACGTTGACACACACCTATAGTCCCAGCTACTGGGAAGGGTGAGACATGAGAATCACTTGAACCTGGGAGATGGAGGTTGCAGTGAGCCAAGGTCGTGCCACTGCACTCTAGCCTGGGCAATAGAGTGAGACTCTGTCTCAAAAAAATAAATCAGTAACCAAAACCAAAAACAGGTCTATTTTGGCTCACGTTTCTGCAGCCTGTACAGGAAGCATGGCACCAGCTTTTGTTCCTGGTGAGGTCTCAGGAAGCTTCTAATCATGCCTGAAAGTGGAGGCAGAGCTAGTGCATCACATGGCGAGAGAGAGGAAGACAGAGTGAACAAAAGAGGTTGAGAGAAGGTGGGACGCTCTTTTAAACAACCAGATCTCATGTTAATTACCAGAGCAAGAACTCCCTCATCACCAAAAGGACAACATTTAGCCATTCATGAGGGATCTGCTCCCATAGTCCAAACACCTCCCACCAGGCCCCATCTCCAGTATTGGGGAATACATTTCCACGTGAGATTTGGAGAGGACAAACATTGAAACTGTGTCTAACTCATACAACTCAATAGCAAAAACGTCAAATAACCAGATTTTTAAAAATGGGCAAATGACCGGCATAGACATTTTTCCAAAGAAGATATGCAAATGGCCAGTGGGTATATGAAAAAGTGCTTAACATCACTAATGAGGGAAATGCAAATCAAAACCACAATGATATATGACATCACACCTGTTAGGATGGCTATTATCAAATAGTCAAAAGATAAATGTTGGCAGGGATGTGGAGAAAAGGAAAACTTCCATGTTGTTGGTGAGGATGTAAATTGATACAGCCCTTATGGATGGTATTATGAAGTTTCCCTAAAAAATCAAAAAGAGAATTATACAATCTAGGAATTTCTGGATATATGTACAAAGGAAATGAAATCATTGTCTTGAAGAGCTGTCTGCACTCCATGGTCACTGGAGCATTATTCCTAATAACCAAGATATGAAAACAACGCAAGTGTCTGTTATAAGATGAGTGGGTAAAGAAAACGTGAGATATCTATATATAGATATATAGGTAACATGATTTGATATGCATATGCATAATATGCATATATTTACATCAATCTGTATATCTATATATATGCACACACACATATACCCAATGAAATAGTATTCGTCCCTCAAGAAGGAAATCCTTTCATTTGGCACAACATGGATGAACCTGGAGGACATTCTGTTAAGTAAAATAACCAGACGTAGACAAAAAAACACTTCACGATCTCACGCATATGTGGAATCTAAAAATGTCGAACTCTTAGAAACAGAGTAGAAGGGTGGTTGCCCAGGGCTGAGGGGTAGGAGAAATGGGGAGACTTTGCATACAAACTTTCAAAGTTATAAGATGAATACATGCTGGAGATCTAATGTACAGCATGGTTACTAGATTTGGTAATACTGTCTACTTGCAATATGAGGAGAGTAGATCTTAGATATTCTCACTGTACATAGACACACACAAAGGTAACTGTGTGAGGTGATGGATATGTTTATTATCTTGGTTGTGGTAATCATTTCACAATGCATATGCATATCTAAATATCATATTACATACTTTAAGTATCTACAATTTTTTTGGTCATTTATACCTCAATAAATCTGGGGGGAAAAAGAGCGACCTCTTCTGAATTCTAGATTTCTTGCTTTTTGTCAGTTTGTCACCCCCAATTTGACTGTGGTTGTGAGACCTTAATAAATAGCAATACATTAAATCATTTATTTAAAAAAATCCTATTCTGAATAATATTCCATTCTTTCGATGTTCCACAGTGTGTTTATCCATAGAGGAATTTTAGATGCATATGACCAACTGAAAAAAAAAACTGAAAGGACTACATATACTGTATAACTCCAACTATATAACATTGAGGAAAAGGCAGAATTATGGAGGACAGTAAAAAGATCAGGTTGCCAGAGATTGGGGAAAGGCGTGGGAGAGGGACAGATGACTAGGAAGATCACAGAGGGTCTTCAGGGCACTGAAATTACTCCGTATGATACTACAATGGTGAATATATGTCACTATTTGTTTACTCACACTCATACAGTGTACACTAAGAGTGGACCCTAATGTAAACTATTGACTTTGGGTAATGGTGATGTGTCAATGTATGCTCATCAGTTATAACAAGCGTACTTCTCTGGTGGGGATTGTTGGTAATGGAGAAGGCTATGCACGTGAGGGAGAAGGAGGTATATGGAACATCTCTGCATATCTCTCAGTTTTGCTGTGTACCTAAAACTGCTCTAAAAAAAACCTAAGTCTTAAAAGAATATGTACTCTCTCTGATATTGTTTGTAACATGCTCTATAAATGTTAAGTATGTCTACTTCGCTGTTAATGTCCATTTTTTTACATCCATACTGATTTTAATTTCACTTATTGCATTAATTACTGAGAAAGGAACATTTATATATTAAAAAATAGAGTCTAAAGAGCAAAAAAAAAAAAAAATCCTGTTTCAAAAGTATATTGATTGCCCTTCCCTGTGACTCCTGTCCATGCGAATTAATTGCCAAATCCACCAAATACTTCTTTCTGTTTTTTCTTTCTTTTTTTTTTCCTTTTTTTTTTTTGAGACGTAGTCTCACTCTGTCACCCGGGCTGGAATGCAGTGGCGTGATCTCAGCTTACTGCAATGTCAGCCTCCCGAGTACAAGCGATTCTCCTTGCCTCAGCCTCCTGAGTAGCTGGGATTACAGGTGCATGCCACCACACCTGGCTAATTTTCGTAGTTTTTAGTAGAGACCAGGGTTTCACCATGTTCATCAGGCTGGTCTTGAACTCCTGACCTCATGATCTGCCGTCCTTGCCCTCCCAAAGTCCTGGGATTACAGACGTGAGCCACAGTGCCCAGCCCAAATACTCCTTTAAGGCCCCAGCAGACCAATACAATCATATGCTCCTGGAATTTGACAGCTTGAAGTTTATAGCCTTACTAAACTGTTTATCTTATCTGTAGTGGTTGCTTTCCTTTACCCCTCAAGATCAATTCACGTAAATCAGTTATTTAAGAATTTGAGAAAAATATGCCTTTGCCTTAATGTGTTACGTTGTATTCATCAAGATCCTGACTCATTTGTGACATTTGCTGTTAGAATGAAAACTGATTCCGACCTCATTATCTTCATGTACATTTTTATTTTTTGCCGCTCTCACCGTGAAGGTCATGGACAGTGTAATTGTGGACGATGTGACTGCAAAGCAGGCTGGTACGGGAAGAAGTGTGAGCACCCACAGTCCTGCACTCTGTCGCCTGAGGAGAGCATCAGGAAGTGCCAGGGAAGCTCTGATCTGCCTTGCTCTGGGAGGGGTAAGTCAGGTCTCTCAGGGCTTGCCACGGCCTTTCCATCATGATTCAAATGAATTCAATGCACACACATCTTAATTTTAAAAACAGCTGAGATCCCTGAATGAGGGGCTATTAGTCTTTTTAGAACTAATAATAAATCCAATCTCCATGAATGAAAGTACACGGAGAAATATATTTCTCTTTCTCTCTACATATATCTTTCGCACACAGACACTCTCTCTCACTCACTGTCAGTCTACTTTAGCCTTAAGGTATGTTCAGTTTCAGTTCAGTTCAGTTCAATGTGACATCAAAAAAAGAAACAGTTTAGACGTTTGCTTAAAGCTTTCTGAATGAGATCATCTAATTGTCCACTGACATTTATGAAACCCAGTAACATTATTTTGAGGACAGTGTTGGCTTTTGAAAATTCATTGTATAAACAAATAGCTATGAATAAGCTTTTGTCATTTTAGAAGGAAGGCATGTAGCCTCAGGTGTGTTCTTGGTATCAGATCAGTACAAATTGGAGAAGGACAAATTCATCTAGAAGAACACAGGTTCCATTCCTCTTGATTTATCAAAACAAGAAATGCAATTTCACTTCTCACATGACAATAGTGAAGTTAATATGAAGTATACTTTTGAAGAACTCGTAATTGACACTATTACCAATTTTGTTCAAGAAAGAGGAAACAAAGAGTTTCTTCACTTGAACAGTAGATCAGAAATTTAATTTTACCTTGCATTTTTTTAAAATGTATTTTTAATAGGGATATAGTTCACATACCATAAAATTCACATACCACTCAGTGTTTTAATATATTAGCATAATTACACAGCCATTACCACTGTCCAATTCCAAAAAAAAATGTTTATCATCATAAAATACTCTGTTAGCCTATAGCAGCCACTCCCCATTCTCTTGTCCCAGAACCCCTAGAAACCACCAGTCGACTTTCTGTCTCTATGAACTTGTCTATTCTGAATATTCCATACAAATGGAATCATAAAATATGTGATCTTCTTGCATCTGGCTTTCTCCACTTAGCATAAGTGTTTGCAAGGTTTATCAAAGTTGTAGCATATGTCAGTCCTTCATTCCTCTATGGCTGAATAATATCCTGTCGTATGGATACACCACAGTTATTTAACCCTTCATCAGTTAATGGGCATTTGGACGTGGGGTTTCTACTTTTTGGCCATTATGAGTAATGCTGTTACAAACATTCCTGTGCAAGTTTTTGGGTGGACATGTCTTTTAATTGGAATCTGTATCTGTGAGTGGAATTGCTGGGTCTTAGAGTGACTCTGTTGTACCTTTTGAGGCACCGCAGGACCATCTTCAAAATGACGGTACCATTTTACATTCCACCAGCAGCGTGTGGAGTTTCCAGTTTCTCCACATCTTTGCCATTTCTTGGTATTGTCTGTCTTTTTGATTTTTTACAATATTCTTTATAAAGAAAACTCCATAAAGTCTCTCAGATTGTTTGCAGCATAGGTATTTTCTCATATCCATTTTCCCCTCATGGTTGTAGGTAGAAGAGTAGAGGACTAGGATATGGGTATAATATATATATATATATTTTTTAATTTCAGAAATATTTTTGACTAGCCCTGTATTTCACTAGTAACCCCAGACAGGAACCATTGTTCTGTCTGCATTGTAATATTGTCATTATAGTGCTGCATAAGCCATCATGCTTTTAAAGAAACAAAGATTAAAATTCATATCCCTCAGACTGCTGATTTACCAACACTTGTAATCTACAGCAAAAAATAATTTTACATTATTATTTTACATTTACAAAAAGCTTTACCTATTGGGCCCAACCATGTAAAAAAAAAAAAAAAAAAAAAAAAAAAAAAAAAAAAAAAAAAAAAACATAGGAAGGCTAACCAGTGTCTTTTTAAAAAAATCTGTGTATCTTTTCAAAAATGTATTATAATCCTCGGGACAATTCCATTTCAAATTGAAAACCTTGGGAGGGAAAGAAAATGACTTTATCTCAAAAATAGATTTTTGATCTTGAGGAATCTTTTTCAGTTACATTTAAGTTGGAGAACTTTAGGTACAGTGATTTTTGCTGTTATCTTAAAGTGGTAAACACAGCAAAGGGAGGTCTGGTATCTTAAAACATTATTTAAGTTAAAGAGTTCACATTCAGTAAAATTATTTAAACTCCAAATGGTTATGTCGCCAGTAGAAGTAAACAGAACAGAAACCAATAGGGATATGCACTTACATTTTAAAACAAAAAAAATGAACAAAATGTATACTTTTAACAAATGCTTTCATATTTTGAAGTTAAAAATGTCAAACCATATAATGGAAAAATAAGAAAAGCACACAAAATAGCTCTCAAACAGAAAATCACTGTAAGTATATACTTTTACCAATGGTTTTTCGTTTGTCTCTAAATTGTTTAATATGTAGAACAAGTCAAATAAAATTATTGGGGACTTAATATACTCCACTAGGTTTTTCCTCAGACATGCGTATTTCCTGCCTTTCTCGAGATTCACTGACTTATTTAGCTACCATTTTTAAGCAGTAGAGTATGTTTAAACTTTATTTTATTAAAAAGGTATTGAATAAATGTATAGAATTATGGTTTTTAAAATTATTTATAATTCATTTCAGCCTCTAGAAGTACTTTGAAACTAAATAAGTTTGTCAGTTTCCTTACACGAGCAAAGTGATTTCGCGGGAAATCATGACACTATGTAAGATTTTTGAAAACGAAAACCAAGAAGTTATGATGGCCAGTTGAGTGCTTTTGGTCAAGGTCAGGTACCCTTTCTTTCTCACAGTGCTACATCTGCAAACTCATTGGCACTGGATGTTTTGAGGCACGTGACCAGTATGAAAACTTTCAAAGAGTTCGTTTTGCAATTTATGAATGAAAACTGCAGCTGTGGTTATATGAGTTAGGAAAGCAATTATAAGACCCATCAGTTTCTCAAGCCTGAGGGCCTCATTAGCTCACGAGCTGGGAAAAAAAAATCCTAGTAGAATATACTGAAGTTCGTCAGGGACCAGGTGAAGGCATTTACATATACATTATATATCTATAATATATATTATATTTTATATATTTTATATATAAATTTTGTATATATTATATATTTTATATATTTTATATATATCAGATATATATATCTGATATATTTTTATATATTTATATAAAAATATATTTATATATTTATATAAAATATATCAGAAATTAAGTTAAATTGTTAGTTTCTGTTGGTGGTGACTAAGTGTGATCATTATGTCTTGAAGGTAGAATAGCTTATATGATATCTTGCATTCTGTATCCTGTGATTCCTTGATTTCTATGCCATATTGGCTGTAGATATATTTTCATGTAATGAGATGTATCTCATGTAGCCAATATAGATATAAAGACACTCGTCCTAATTTCGGTTCCTGGGAGTAAAGGTGAGAAAACACTTTATCTAGTCTTCTAGTGTTCTGCTCAAAAACTGTAATGGCTTATGATAGGCTAAACATTAGTTTTACATTCTTCCTGATTTAAGAATACATCATTATTATTATCGATGTTCTCCTGAGCATGAATTTGACTTTGGCTTAAAAAAAAATAAGTGAGTAAAATTAATTTGCATCACATCTGAGCAGAAGCTATAAGAGGCAGTGAAAAATCTGCCATTCTGTCTCAGGCATGAGAATTTGCAGCGCTTGAGATCGTCTCTGACCCGTTAGCCTGGGTCTCTGAATGAGGATGGGTAGCAGAAATCTCTGTTGATCCACCAAGGTCCTATGATGTGAGTGAGAAAGAAACTCCTGTTGTTTTAAACAAGTGAGATTTTGGAGGGAGGTGTTATTGCGGGAGAACTCCTGAATGATAATTGATTCCCCATATAAAATGTGGGGAATATGGTTAAGCCAAGGTAAGCAAACACAACAAAAATCGTACTTACATAATTTATATTTTATATTATATACATAATTTATAAATACCATAATTTATATTCTTGGAGCAGCATTCATGTTCACATCTCTTAGTATTAATTCTTGGATATGTAATACATAGGTCTAAAAAAGATGCATATATTTTATAAGTGATGTATTTATGCTGTTCTATCAACAGCATTTATGTGCACTTAGTCAACAGGTAAAATAAGAACATTGAATAATACATTTTTTAAAATTTCCTAAAAACACAATGAGGTAGGAAGACGTATAATTATTATTCTTTTTGCAGAAAAAGAAATTAGATATCTGAACAGTTTGCCATTTTACATAATTCCAGTGGTGCAAGTTTAAAAAAAAATAATACATGTTCTCTGACTCTAAGGTTGTTGTTTTGGATAACTTACAGGTTCTTGTTACATGGCAATTTATTGGACAATATATATTAAACATATTTCCTGTTACACATGTAATTCTGCAGAGTCATTGAAATGGCTGCATAATATTCCATTATATGGTTGTAGCAAAATAATTCAATCAATCCTCTTTTTATTAGATATCTATATGTTCTCTTATTCAAGTTCTAAATGCCATAATTTATATTCTTGCAGCAGGATTCATGTACAAATCTCTTAGTATTAATTCTTGGATATGGAATACATAGGTTTTAAATGAAAAACAGTAAAAAATATTTTGAAGAAAAAAATCTAAAATAGATTATACAGGTATGCTCTCCTGCCAGGGGCATAAGAAAAGTCTTCTTCACCCACTAGTAGTGACAATTTAAATAATCTGCTAGCTCTTCTCAATGTATTTTGCTGTTGGTGTTACAAACTTTTGCCATTTATCAAACTTCTTTCATTGACTTCTATAATCATCAAAACGAATGATTTATCTGCAGGCATTATTATTCAGAGGCTTGTGTTTTCAGTATTTGCCTTCTTTGATCATCATTTGTCCTTGTGTCTAAGTCATCCTTTTGTTTGATACTGCAATCCCATGTGCTTTTCTTATCTGTCCTGTTTGCCCTTTGGTTTTCTTTTATCAGACTTGTTCTAAGAGGTATTGCTTATGTTTTAGT